TGGATTAGTAGAAAATGTTCAAGGAAATATATTTCGTACAAGAGTTTATCCAATACAACCTGGTGGCAAACGAATAGTACGTGTTATTTATCAAGATCTAGCACAAATTGAAAATGATTATTTTCTCTTTCATATTCCTATCTACTTTACTAATATTCTTGAAAATTTGGATATTTCATTGATTTGTGCACATACATCAAATCATCGTCAGCCAGAATTTCTTCCAAATATTAAATTTAATCAACCTTTCATCAATTCAAATGGTAAATATTGTTCTGAACTTCATCTTGTCAATGTTGAACCATTACAAGATGAACAATCTATTACATATATGTTAAGAACTTTAGTAGAAGAAGAAGTCATGTATGATGTAGAAATTGATCCTGATGATCATAATCAAGCCTATTTTGCTCTATGTTATATGCCACCATTTCCACAATACAATAAAATCATAGCTACGAATCAACAAACAATGTCTATTTGTATATTATGGGATGCTAGTTTAAGTCGAGCAAATATTGAAAATCGTAATTATGAAATAAATATACTCAAAAATATATTAGATATTTGGCAATCAAATAATATTAATGTAAATATAACTGTAATTATATTTCGAAATATAATTGAAGAACCAAATATATTTCAAATACATGATAAAAATTATTGGTCAAAACTTAATCAATTATTAACTAATCTATCCTATGATGGTGCAACAAATTTATTTCAATTATCTACAATTTCAACTAGTATACCAAATATTACACATTATTTTTTATTTAGTGATTGTCTTTCAACAATAAGCAATGATGATCCAACATTGTTGAATCAATTGACAACTAAACCAATATGGATATTTAATGCAAATAGTGCACATGAACCAACAAATTTTTCATTGATTAACTATTTAACTAATACTAGTGGTGGTAATTATATTTCACGTGATAAAATTATAGCTCAAAATAGTGCAAAAATTATTATTGAATTGATTGATAAACCACAATCTAGATATATTAATACAGATATTATCAATGATACCAATATTCATGATATTTATCCAAGTCATTCGATTATTTTAACATCAAATTCAGAAAGATTTATACTCGTTGGAAAAATGTCATCAGCAATTTCAGCTAAAATTTCTATTAATTTTTCTAATTCAAATCAAATACATCGTAAAGAATTAATAATAGATAAAACAAATTTGACATTTGAAAATTATGGATTATTACGTCGTTTATATGCAAAACAAATGTTAAGTGAATTAATAGCATTTCCAGAAAAAAATAAACAACATATTTTAGAAATTGGTATGAAATATTCTATTGTCAATGATTTTACATCTATACTTGTCTTAGAAACATTACAACAACATATTCAATATAATATATGTCCACATCCATCACGTAAAACATTATACAATGATTATATAAAATATCAACAAAATAAAACACAACAAGAATCAATAAGAAGTCAAACTAAATTAACAGCTATTTTAAATCTATGGCAAGCGCGTTGCACATGGTACGATAAAAAGATAACAGACGAAGATCGTACAAATGCATTCAAAAGGAAAACTTCTAATCCACATGATGTGGATGTACATTTGATGTCAAGATCTCAAAATCGACTAAATTTTAGAATGTCTTCGAGGTCTTTTCGAACAGTTGACGAGTCTGCAACTATAAGTTTGCGGAGTGAACCAGGGATATTATTACGGTTAGAATCACAGTACTCCGCATTGAGCAATAATGTAGAACTGACTTTCAATGATAAAGAACACGGGGAATGTTTGGACGATGATAGATCTACTATTGTTCATCATAGAAATACTGCTGCTTATGGCCATTCAATTACTCTTCAAAATTGGGATCCACAAACACCTTACATAGACAAAATTAAATCAACTACTAATTTACAAAAAGCTTATCAAATTTATTTAGATGAACGTCAATCATATTTAAAATCACCATCATTCTATTTTGATATAGCATCTTATTTTTTTTCAAAAGCTCGTTCATCAATATCGAAATCATCATCATCATCAATTGATATATTTAATAAACATCATTCAATTTCTATTTTTGGTATTAAAATATTTTCACATGATACTCAT